CTGCAATCCCCTTCTGATCAGCCACTTGATTCCCCCTCAGTCTGTGGGCTGGAAGCTCAGGAGGCAGCCGCTGCCCCTGCCGAGCTTGGGGACTGGAGCTGAGACCACTGGCTTCTCTCTCTCCCCGCTGACACAGACTTTTCCCTCTGACCTTCTAAGTTGTCTTTGGCATTCATGGGTTGAGAAGTCTGGAAACCATCACAGCTGCCCACGATTCAGTCCTCTGAGGCTTGCTCCAGGGTCACTGCGGCCTGTGCATCCACATCTTACTGTGCTCCTCTCCCAGCCTGGCACAATATACCTTTCTGATCAACCATCCAGGCTGTCTTTGGCTGGAAATTTGTTTCACTCTGTCTTTTTGTGCTGCTTTAGAATTTGTTTAGAGCCATTTTTTTTATAGGTATTTGGAGGGGTTTGGGGGAGAGCTCAAGCAACTCAGTGCTTGTACTCTACCATCTTGGCTCTGCCCCCTTCATCATTTCTTTTCTTTTCTTTTTTTTTTGGTTAGGCAATGGGGGTTAAGTGACTTGCCCAGGGTCACACAGATAGTAAGTGTTATGTGTCTGAGGCTGGATTTGAACTCAGGTCCTCCTAACTCCAGGGTCAGTGCTCTATCCACTGCGCCACCTAGCTGCACCCCCATCATTTCTTATAGCACAATAGTATTCCGTTACATTAGTATACCTCAACTTGTTCAGCCATTCCCCAATTGATGGGTATCTCCTCAATTTCCAATTCTTTGCTATCACAAAAAGAGCTGCTATAAATATTTTTGTACATGTGGGTCCTTTTCTCATTTTTATGATCTCTTTGGGATATAGCCCTAGAAGTGCTACTGCTGGGTCAAAGGGTATGCACATTTTCATAGACCTTTGGGCATAGGAACACCTTTTATTTTGGCTGCTATTTGTATTTCCCAGTGCCTAGCACATAGCAGGCACTATATACATAGGCTAGCTATTTACGATCATTATTTTCCCTGTTTCCATTGGAGACATTTTCTGCTTGGCCTCAGACTGTAGAACCAGGACCACTAGTAAAAGTCACAGGGTAACAGCAGAGAAACTTCCAAGTATACAGAACACAGGGGAAAGAACTTTGGGTTTGTTTTTTTTTTTCCAATTTTTTGATTGGAGACAATGTGGCCTAGTGGATAGGATTCTAGATTTATTTTACAGATGAGGAAACCAAGGCACATAAAGGTTAAGTGATGTGCCCGTCTCACAGGAAAAGGCAAGATTTGAATCCAGGTCCTGTTACTCCAAATCCAGCTGTCTTCCCACTGTGACAACTGACCTTCCTAGTACAACCTGGAATCAAGAGGTAGACCCTGCCTAAGACAGCAGTACATCATCTATCTGTCTATTGCTTTGCCCACATGGTTTCATTTGAGCTCATTATAACTCAGTGAGGAAGGTATCTCCTGGTATAATAATAATCACACTTTACAGATAAGTAAACTGAAGTTCAGAGTTTAAATTTGTTTTATTTGTTCACGGTCACACAGCTACTGAGATCACAGAGTATCCAAGTCGGAAGGATCTCAGTGGCCACTCTGAAAGGATGCCTGAAAAGGCGTCTCCCCTGTGACGTATCTGACAAACAGCCATCCAGCCCTTTGCTTAAAGGCTCCCAAGAAGGGGGACCGCCATGGTGGGCAGTGCCCAAAGCAATGTATCTATGCCCCCATCTCTCCAGGCTCTGCTCCTGACTCTCCAGGCATTTCCACCATGCCCAGGGCCTGTACCCTTGCTACCCACCCTATCCCAGCTGTCTCCCCTTTAGGATGTAACAGCTTTAGATGCCAAACAAAAGTGCTTTCATTTGATCCTGGGGTCAATAGGGAGCCGCTGGAGTGACAGGGTCAAGGAAAGTCACTTGGGGGAGTTGAAGAGAAGACTGATTTGCAAAAGGAAGACTGGTGTCAGGGAGACCAAGCAGGAGGCAAGTGAAGTAATCCAGGTGAGAGGTGATGAGGGCCTGGAACAGAGTGGAGGCTGTGGCTGCAGAGAAGGGGACAGATAAGAGGCTCTGGCAGTAAAAAGAGCACAATTTGATAACTCTAGGGACGCAAGGAGAGGGAGAGAAAAGAGTCAAGTTTAGAGGGGCAACCAGGTGGCCCAGTGGCTAGAGCATTGGGCCTGGCGTTAGGAAGACCTGAGTTCAAATCCAGCTTCAGACACTTCCTAGCTATGTGACCCTGGGCAGGTCACTTAACTTCCGTCTGCCTCAGTTTCCTCATCTGAAGACCTGAGTTTAAATCCAGCCTCAGATACTTCCTGGCTGTGTGACCCTAGGCAAGTCACTTCACCCCGTTTGCCTCAGTTTCCTCATCTGTAAAATGAGCTGGAGAAGGAAATGGCAAACCACTGCAGTATTTTCGCCAAGAAAACCCCAAATGGGGCCATGACAGAAACATGGGGAAGAGCCAACAGCAGGCGATAACTGATCACACCCCTGGTGGCCTCTTAAAAGGCTTCTGGCAGTCAGTGTGAGGGAGTCGAGGCTCTGAGCAGCTCTGCAGGGTGAGCCTGACCCCCTGAAGCAGAGGAGGCAGCTGCTGTCCCAGGCCCCAACCCTCGAGTACCAGGGGGAGCTGGAAGGAAAGGGGGAGGATTGGCTGATTCCAGCCCAAACCTCTGGGTTGCTTTCCACCGATCCGGCCTCTGTCTTGTATGGGCACAGCAGTATGAATGTGAGCTCCAGGAGGCAGGGATTGTCATGTGTCCTTTTATACCCAGTGCCTGCTACATGAACCGTGCTTAATAGATGATTCTGGCTGGCTAACCTTCCTTTGGTGCTGCGGACACCGGGGACTCTGCCCACAGGTGCGTCCCGAGTCCCCAGGGAGGGCCTACTTACACTCCAGACTGTCTCCTGCTTCTCCTAGTCTGGGCTGTGCCCATGAGGAGTGGGGACAAGGATGGGGGAGGGGAAGGGCAGGGAGCTCCTGGGAAGCAGATCTCTCAAGTTGAGCCCCATTCTGCTGTTTACTAAGCAATGTTAATCTGCTTTCTAAACCTCGATTCCTTTTCTGTAAAATGTGGGGGCTAGACAAGATGACTTCTAATGGTCTTTCCTGCAACCAATCTATGAATCTCAACATCTTTCTCACCCCTGCCCCTTCAACCTACTCACACCTTGTCCACCCGGGCTTGATCTGGACAATTGCAACAGCCTTCTAAGTGGTCTAAGATGGTGAGTGAGGGGGCAAACTCACCAAGCTCACTACTTACATCTAACCGTCAGTGTCTTATCTCGCCCAATTGCCCACCAGGAAAAATTTGGCCCCACCAGGCATCTGACCACCTGCCCTGCTCCCACACACCATTCCCTTCCCTGTCTTCCCCTACCTTTTGTCCTCCTGTTCTAGAGGCAATATTCAAATGAACAAGATGGTTCCTACTAGAAACTGCCCTATGCCTCCATTCTCAAGCCCTAATTCTCAAGCCTCCATTCTCCAGACCTAAATTAAAGAGGCCACCACCACTACCTATATGTGCTGTTTCCCCCCTTAAAAATATAAGCCTTTTGAAGGCAGAGATGATCTCACTTCTATATTTGTCCCTCCAGCACTCAGCACACAATAGACATGTAATACATGCTTTTTTCTTTTTATGATTCAATATTTTTTATTTTTTTCAATTACATGTAAAAACAATTTTAACATCTTTTTTTTTTTCAAATTTTGAGTTCCAAATTCTCTTCCTCCCTCCCCTCCCCACCATTGAGAAGGCAAGCAATTTGACATAGGTTATACAAATACATGCTTTTAAAAATTCATTCATTCATTTATTTCTTCAATCTTTCCTCTTCCAGACCGTCAGAATGATAGTGCTAAAGCACAAATCTGACTTGTTCATGGTTACACTCTCTTAGAAGTTTCAGTGGCTGCCATGGATGGCCGTTAGGTTAAAATACAAACGTCTTCACAATCTGACCCTCACCTTTCTTTCCAAGCTGACTGCTCACTACCACCACTAATTCTAATGTTCCGTCAAACCGGTCTGTTTGCTCCTCCCCATCCTTGACATTCCTACCTTTGTACAGGGTGGCCCCCATGCTTGGAATACTCTCCAGCTTTTTTTCTGCCTTTTGAAATTCCTAACTCTCTTTAATGCTCAGACAATCCAGGCATTAGTGTCTTCCCTAAGACTCATCTTCCTGAGTTTAAATCCAGCCTCGGACACTTACTAATTGTGTGATTTTGGGCAATCACTTAACCCTATTTGCCTCAGTTTCCTCATCTGTAAAATGAGCTGGAAAAGGAAATGGCAAACCACTCCAGTATTCTCTGCCAAAAATGGGGTCAAAAAGAATCAGACACAATTGAAACAACTGAATAACAACAAAATCACTGTACATTTTGGGGGGGGGGTGCAAGGGGGAAACTGTATTTATCTGTCAACAACTTGTATCCCTCCTCCCCTAGTTAAATGTAAGCTCACTAGAAAGCAAAGACTGTCTCATATCCCTAATACCTAGCACAGTGCCTGATATACAGTAAGTGCTTAATAAAAACTGTAAGAACTCTGTTCAGCAAAATAAGCAATCATAAATCCAGAAGATCCATGATGAAGCATATTACCGGCCCTGGACAGGGAGGTGATTGACTCTGTGCTTAGAATGAGATTTATTTTTCTAGATACGGCCAATGTAGGAATTTCTTTCGCTCGGTTATAGTTTTCTCTACAGTTAGAAAACTATTGTTTCAACAGAGGGGGAGAGGAAACATTTTTTGTTCATTAAAAAAATTAAATTAAAAAATAAATGCATGTGGATTGATCGATCCTGTCATCAACAGCGAGTTGTCATCGCCCTGATCTGCCCTTGCTGAAGTTCCAAAGCTACCTTGAGTCAGGACAAAGGTCGGATCAATGGGAAGATAAGAACCCGGACAACCAGACACTCTGCCTTTGTGAACCAGTAGGCATCCCCCACACTACCCCACCCCCATACCTGGAATGCATCTCCTCCTTATCAAACAGTCCAACACTCACTTTTGCCGGAAGCCTTTCCTGTCTCCCCAGAACTAGTCTTCCTCTCTTCCATCTTCTTGGTAGGTATCTCACATATACAAGAATATAGTGCTTCTCCAGATGAGATAGAATTCTCGAGGTCAAAAATTAGTTTATTTATGTCTTTGTGACTGAAACTTAATAGATGCTAAATAAATGCGGACTGATTCATTCAAGAACTCTCACTCCTTGTTAATGGAGGAAGGAGGGGTTTACCTGTCGGGACCTCCCTCCCCCACCCCAGTCACTCATAAACTGTACTTAATTCTGTAAGTCTTGTTATTCCTTTAAGAAACAGATAGGAGGGTGCCACGGAGAGGGATGAGGGCCAGGGACTCTGGGAATCCTCTGGGAATCCTCCAGGTTGGCATTAAATGAATGATTCCAAAATCCCTTGTGCTTTGTCAATTTCCTTCTCTGTGAAATTGAAGGGATTGGACAGAATGCTCTCCAGAAAGCAGCTAATTGGTTGGAGTGGATTCTGAGGTTTGCCTCCAGCCTGCATTTGGAAACTTTTAGGCTGGGACACACATGGTTCACCTAGGACTCAGATATCTCCGATGTCATTGATTCCAGCTACTTTTTTACAGTTGAGGAAACAAAGGCCCAGAGCCGGAACTCATGCAAGGTTACCCAGGTAACCAGCCTTCGAGGCTAAAACTTTCCGACCTCAATTCAGGTACCTCCTCCTTCCACAAAGCCCCAAAGCCCTCAACTCCAGCTCCTCACACAGACACATAATTATGGCTGCCAGAAGGTGGCGCTAACAGCCTACCTAAAATAAAAAAAACGCCACACACGATGAGCTCTTGCACTTCACAAAAGCTGTGTAACTGCTTTTCTTACCTTGTTTTTCCGCTATCATGTAACTACTCCAACGCTAAAATGAAGTGCAGTTAAAAAACTAGAGCGGCACTACAACAAGCAAGTATCCAAACACATTTCCTTTAAAAACGAAAATAACTCAGTCTCCGTAGAGACTGTCAAAAATTGCCAATGCCGACTATATTTCAAGTCGTCATGGCGGGGTATTGGGAAAAGTTTTCAATTAGCAATAATCGCGCCTCGGATAAACCTCATTGGCTACGATACTGCCACTGCGCAAAGCTAACGAGATCCGGCCTGGGCTCCAGTCCCCCATGGCTGGAGACTATCTTCACAACGAGGGTAAGAAGCGGACTGATATTGAATGGCTCCTGCCGGCTCTTTTTTTGGGTCCAGCCGAACTTTAACCCTACAGGTTCAAGGACTTTCTGGTCACTTGCAGATGGACAAACGTCCATGAAAATAGAATTTCAGGGAAAACCAGGCAAACAGGCGCCGAGGATTCTGGGGATTCCTATGCAAATGAGGGTGACGCTATAGACCTGCCCGCGCCGCTTGAGTTTAGAAGGCTTACTTAACTCGTGCCGAGAGTTGAGCGTTGAGTTGGCTGCTGGGCAGGAAGTAAGTGAGCAGTAGTTAGGACAGATGGAGGACGTTTTGGAGTTGTTCGTCCCATCTCGAAGAGTACCATGACATCAGGCAGGTGATACCACATGCGAGTGTGAGTGACGGCTGTGCAAAGTCGCCAGCCTTACTTTCTCCTCCGCAGCCATCAGGGTCCAGTGGTGAGACAGAGACGAGGACGTTTAGGAGTGATTGAAGAAGGACATGGGAGAATAAACTGCAATTATCTAGTAGGATTCAGGGGGCAGAGAGGATATGAGAAAGTCTGCCCATTGCAGAGAGTGGAGAGTAGAGATGAGGAATGATAAGCAAACACCCTGGGTAAGAGCTCTCCTTACTTGTCAGTTAGTCCAGCTTCCTTCCGCCCTTCCCTGCGCAGAAAGAAATTCACTTTCATCCTGCCCGGCAATCGAAGCGTTTCCTCCATTCCACAAATAGTCCCAGCCCCCCAAAACCCATGAAAAAGAAGCGAAGCAACTTTATTCCTTCCCACTTACCCCAAAATCAGGCGGGGTTTTTCAAGACAATCAGAATTTGGCTCAAGTGTTGCAAATTATGCATTTATAGAAGCACAAAAATTGTGACTTTGGAAGAACGTGAAGCTTATTTATCCAACCCACCCACTAAACTTTTTGTGTCCGGCGAAACCTCAAGGATCTCACCACCGCGATTGAAAGAAATGCTTTTTTCCCACCTAAATTCAGGGTCCTTCCAAAAAATCTCTATGACGTTCAGTAAACCTCAGTAACAGCTAGCATACTGAAACGTTGAAACCTATTTTAGGTGTCTTTCTGTCCCCCCTCCTGCTCAGAACTACAATTAAGCCTATTCGTTCTCCCCTTAGTTACAGAACCCACGAAACATAAAGTAACAAGTTATAATTACCTTAGCTTTTCAAAAGCTGAAGTTACATTCCTTGAGACTCCAAAACACTGGAAACTCCTGAAACCCCTTCTCTTTTTCTTTTCGAACTCAAAAATCCAGTCTCCGTAGAGACTGTCAAAAATTGCCAATGCCGACTATATTTCAAGTCGTCATGGCGGGGTATTGGGAAAAGTTTTCAATTAGCAATAATCGCGCCTCGGTTAAACCTCATTGGCTACGATACTGCCACTGCGCAAAGCTAACACGATTTTTCTCGAACCCGTGCCCACTAAAACATCGATAACTGTACAATGTAGGCTGATTTTATTCTTTGGAAAATACACCCCCAAATAAATTATTTTAGCTCAAAATTCACCCAACTGCCATCGTTTTCACCGAAAGTTGAAAACTGCTGTTGACATTTACACTCTTTTAAGTTCTTTTTAAATCTTGTGATAGTGAAGCAAAGCCTTATGGGGGAGGTAGCATGCTAATCAAGTTTCTAGAGAGAAGGCACTCGGGGAAATGGGCCCGTTGGAAGCTCAGAGGAGGGGCTCAAGGAAGAAGTGGCTATTGGCTGCCAGAGAAGAGAAGGCAAAGGGAGGGAGCTTTTGGTCGGACCCTGCAGTTGGATCTAGTTGAGTTTTCTCCCTTTCTTACGGGTCCTGATTCTAGAGTTGGAGGGAGCCTTAGAGAGGTCACTGAGCTCAATCCCTCCTTTTACAGATGAGGAAACTGAGGCCCAAGCAGGTTTAGGGGACACAGGGAGAAAATATGAGAGCTGGGATTTGAACCCAGGTCTCTACTCCCAGTCTTTCCACTATACCGCTGTTACACAATCTTAGGGACAATCAGGTGGTGGTCCAGAAATTTTAGTACAAATTTGGGCTTTAACAACTTAAAACTGCCTTAAAACTTTTGGACCACTCGGTACAATGCCGTTGCATAGTAAATTTTTAGTAATTTTTGGCATTAGAAGCAGTAATAAACGGAACACTGGCCCTGGAGTCAGGACAGCTGGGTTCACATCCTGTCTCAGATCCTCAATGGGCATGTGACCGTGGGAATGTTTCATTACTGCTTTGAACCTCAGTTTCCTTATCTGGAAAATAGGGATAATATGTAATACTTGTACTTCTACCCCTTAGGGCTATTTTAAGGCTCGAATGAGATCACATTTGTATAGAGGGCTCTGAAAACCTTAAAGGATTTACGTTCCTTGGTTTAATTTCAGCACTCTATAAATAGGGATAATGATATTTACTTTACAGAGTTACTATGAGGAAAGCGGTATACAAATCTGATAGAAGCGCTATAACAGTGTAAAATAGAGACACTAATAACTTCACTCCATACTTCCCAACTTGAGGATCAGAACCTCAGTTTCCTCATTTGTAAAGTGGGAATGGTAACAACACCTGGTTATGAGGATCAAAAGAGCAACCCTGGGAGGTAGGTGCTATATTATTATCCTCCTTTTACAGATGAGGAAACTGAGGCAGGCAGAGGTTACCTGATTTGCCCAGAGTCACACAGCTAGTAAGTATGAGTTCAAATTTGAACTCTGGACTTCTGACTCTAGACCCAACACTGTATCCACTGTTTGACATCTGATATGATTTGATTCCTAGACTTACCCTAAAGAACAGCAGTTTCCCATAATATAATATTAATATAATACAATGTAATGTAATATAATATAGTATATTATGATATAGCATAACATGGTATAATATATGACATGATATAGTACAATACAATATAATTAGATTCAACAGAATTCAATAGAGTATGATACAATATAAGACAATTCAATATAATTAGATCCAATTACATGATACAATATAACACAATTGAATATAATTAGGTTCAACATAATTTAATACCATAGGATACAGTACAACACAACACAGTACAACATAATATAGTAAAATATAATACAACCTAAGTTGCACTACCAAGGATTATGAAGAAATTCCTTTGTGATCCCTAAAGTGCTACATAAAGGTCACATGATGTATCGTGATGTGGGACCTCAGTGTGGACGGCCCTCAAGCAGGGGACACCAGAAATCTCCAAAGCGTGCATAGACCCTGCCACCACATCATAAAGCTAAACCCAAACACTAGAAACATTACGGTAGCAGAGAGGCGGGGTACTGAGCGCGGTGGCCCCCCTGGCTTCTGGGAATTGTAGTTCTCCCGCCCCAGTCCTCCTCTTGGATGCCTGGTGGACTACAACTCCCAGGAGGAGGTGGTGAGCAGCCAGCCTGGGACTGTCCTGTCCATGGAGCTGATGATCCTGGGGCAGTAAAAGGTGAGTGTGTTTGTTGCATTGAGGGGTGAAAGTGCCACTGTTGCCTTCTGAAAGATGCTGATTTACCCTAAGCAAGTGAGGCTCCGGGCGTGTGGCCTGGAGGGTGGGGGGCGCCCTGCATCTCCTCCAGATCTGGGGGTGTCACAAAGTTGGGTGATCTGGTCCTGAAGTTGGGGCCGCTGGGACCTTGAGCTCGGGTCTAACAATCACAGCAGGTGGGGCGGAGCTCTGCCCACCCACCGGCTCCAATCTGCCTAATCTCTACCTTGTTTGGCCATAGTGGTTTGCATGTCATCTGCTGGCTTAGATTGGGAGCTCCTGGAGGGCAGGGACTGCCTTTTACCTACTTTTATCCCTAGCCCTTGGCACGGTGTCTGGCACACAGTAGGTGCTTTATAATTGCTAGTTGAACTTATCTCATAGGATTCATAAGATCATGCTTTTAGTCAGAAGCGTCATCTAATCCAGCTCTTTCATTTTATGGCTCATGAAATGGAGGCTTGGAAGGAAGTGAGTGGTCCAAGGTCAGATAAGATATAAGTGGACAGAGCCAGGATTCAAACGTAGACCCACTGACTACAAATTCTACACTTTCTTTCCTTTTTGAAATATTTTTATCTTTTCTCAATTACATGTAAAAACAATTTTTGACATTTTTTTTTCCAAGTTCCAAACTCTTTTCCTCCTTCCCTCCTCTCCCTCCTCAATTGAGAAGGCAGGCAATTTTATATAGGTTATACACATGCAATCGTACAAAACATATTTCCATGTTAATTATGTTGTGAAAAAAATATACTAAAACAACAAAAGAATTTAAAAGTTTTTAAAGGTATGCTTTGCTCTGCATTCAGACTCCAGTTCTTTTCGTGGATGTGGGTAGCATTTTTCTTCACCAGGCTTTGGAACTGTCTTGGATCATTGTGTTGCTGAGAATAGCTGAGTCATTCACAGTTGTTCATTACACAATGTTGCTGTTACTGTGTACAATGTTCTTGTGGTTCTGCTCAATTCATTTGCATCAGTTCTAAGAAATCTTTCTAGGTTTTTCTGAGAGCATCCTGCTCATCATTTCTTTTTTTTTTTTCTTTTTTGCTTTTTGGTGAGGCAATCAGGGTTAAGTGACTTGCCCAGGGTCACACAGCTGGGAAGTGTTAAGTGTCTGAGGTCACATTTGAACTCAGGTCCTCCTGACTCCAAGGTGGGAGCTCTATGCACTGCACCACCTCGCTGCCCCTTTGTCATTTCTTATAGCACAGTAGTACTCCATCAAAATCATATACCACAACTTGCTCAGCCATTCCCTAACTGATGTGCATTCCTTCAATTTCCAATCTTTGCCACCACAAAAAAGAGCTGCTATAAATATTTTGTACACATAGGTCCTTTTCTTTGCACTCTTTTCAAGAAAAAAATGTTACCTCCAAAATATATGAAGTAATAGGAAGACCATAATCTTCTTGAAGGCAGGGACGATTTCATAATTGACTTTGTATCCCAAGCACTTAGCAAAGAGCTGCCCACATCCTAGGCATTAGGGTAAATGCCTGTTGCCTCATTCGATTATTGATAGGTTCAAAGGTTTCAATGAAAAGCTCTTAACCTAGGTTCCATGAACTTGTTTCTTTTTTAAATATTTTCATAACTATATTTTAATATAATTGGTTTCTTTTGGAATTCTGTGTATCTATTTTATGCATTTAGAACATTATGCCTGTAGAGCTTAATTGCATGCCATCTTGGGGAGGGGGAAAGGAAAGAGGAGAAAAAAATTTGGAACTCAAAATCTTATAAAAGTGAAGGTTGAAAATTATCTTTACATGTAATAGGAAAAAATAAAATACTATTAAGTAGGGGGAAAAAAAACCCATTATGCTCAAGGTATCCATAGATGTTACCAGGATTCCAAAGGGGTCCAGGACACACAAAACTTTTAACAACACCTGGCTAAATAGATACAGGGTGTCCCAAAAGTCTTAGAGCAGTGTTATACTATTAAAGCTTAAGACTGCACGAAGACTTGGGACACCTTCTATATCTTTATCTATATCTACACATATTATATTATAATTTGTATATTATAATTATCTATTATAATATAAATATTATATTGGCATGTATGTATGTATTAGGTCAAGTAGTCAATCAGCCAACAAGCATTTATTAAGCCCTACTGTTTGCCAGGGACACATAGAAAGGCAAAACGCAGTCCCTGCTCTCAAGGAGCTCTCGGTCTAATTGGAGAGACATCATGCAAACAGTTATGCATAAGAAGCTGTATACGGGATAAAGTGAAGATACTCAGTTAAGGGAAAGCTTTCATTATTCTCAGCTCCAGTGACAGAATCCTATTTGTCCTGCATTTTAAAAGGAATGAAAAGCAAAGTGTTCTTGACAAGATGGGCCAAACCCTTAAGAAAAAAAAAATAGTCCCTTTTAAAAAAAATCCAGAAGGAGAGGAATTGTCCATCCTTTCTCTTGCCACCTTTGGGCCTAGAAGACCATAGAAAGCTCCACATGTTAGAAGTGCCCAAGCTCAGCTCTGCTGACCTTGGACGAGGGAGAAGAGGAGCTGGGAAAGAAAGCAGCTGCTGTTTCCTTTTTGTCTTCGTGTTTTTGCCTTTTTTTCTTGCCCTCAGTGCTTAGCACAGGGCCTGGCACAAGATAAATGCTTACTGACTGATTTCTTCAGAACATTTTCAGTTTGTAAAACTCAGCAGGGGTGGGGAACTTTCTAGGCCCCTGGGTGCGGCCTTTTGGTTCCAATTTTTTCTTTTGGTTCTTTCCAATGACATTTCTGTAGTCTCTGCGTATATTGTTTCATTTTTCTTCCACGCAAATTATCCAACACGTTTTAGCTTCTCCTTATATTTCTCTCTACTCTTTCCCTCCTTCTCCCCTCTGTTGTAAGCTCCTTGAGGGCAGGGGCTGTCTTTTGCCTCTTTGTATCCACAGTGCTTAGCACAGTACCTGGCACTTGACAAATGTTTATTGGTTGACATCTTTGTTAAATTTATTAACATATATTTTTTTTTTAATTTTGAGTTTCATTCTCTCCCTCCAGCCCCTTTCCCACCCATTTCATTGAGTGATTGAGTGATTGATTGATTGATTTCAGTATCTCATCAAACAGCCCTGGATACATTGATTTTACCCTCCCACACCTACTTGGGGGGCTTTAGTTGAATCACTTGTATTTCAACAACTGTGTCTTCTGTGTTCTTTCTCTTTCCCTAGAATGAGAAATGAGCCCCCTGTGTATCTTCAGCCCTCGCATCCTTCACCCCCGAGGCTCCCACACAGCAGCGGGCACCTTTGTACCACCGTGTCCTCCCCTGGACCGGGAGAAAGTCAAGGAGTTACAGAGATTCATCTCCCTTTCCAAGAGACTCCTAGTGATGACCGGAGCCGGAATCTCCACTGAGTCAGGCATCCCAGATTACAGATCAGAAAAGGTGGGGCTCTATGCCCGGACGGACCGCCGCCCTATCCAACATGTGAATTTTGTCCAAAGTGCTAAAACCCGCCAGCGCTACTGGGCAAGAAATTTTGTTGGGTGGCCTCAGTTCTCCTCTCACCAGCCTAACGCCGCACATTTGGCCTTGAGCAGCTGGGAGACACTCGGGAAACTCTACTGGTTGGTGACCCAAAATGTGGATGCTCTGCATACCAAGGCGGGGAGTCAGCGTCTGACTGAACTCCATGGATGCATGCACAGGTGAGCATGGGAGGGGCGCAGGTCTGGGGCTGGTACTGTGGCTGTGAGAATCACTAATGGGAGTCTACCTGAGACCACTTATTATCTGTGGTCCCTCTTGGACAATTAAATCTAGTTAACCAGTCAAACAAAAAGCATGTAAAATTTTGGTCCCTTGTTTGGGGCTCAATCATTCAATCAGTATCCCACCTTCCCCACGCCTCTCCACACATACACCCCAAAAAAAGAAAGAAAAACAAAATTCTTTTAAGACACGGTCAGCCAATCAAAACAGATTCCCACGTTGGCCCCCAAACCAACCCTTGATACTGGTTGTATAATGGGCAAGTCAGACTTAGTTTTCTCATCTGTCAAATGGGGTAGTCATACCAGGGGTACTGTGCAAGCCTATTAAAAATCTCCATTTTAATCTCTCTGACACTAGCTGTGGGACCCTGGTCAAGTTCCTTAACCTCTCTCAGCCTGTTTGTTTGTTTTTTTAAATTAATTTATTTTGATTTATCAACAATCACTTCCATTTGCTTTTGACTTTAAAATTTTTCTCCATCTTCCTCCCCACCACCCTCCCCAGGACGGCGCACAATCTGATATAGGCTATACATATACATTCCTATTAAACATTTTCACACTAGTGATGTTGTAAGTAAGAATTAGAACCAATAGGAGGAACCACCAGAAAGAGGAAACAAAACTCAACAGAAGAAAAAAAAATAGCAAATAGTATGCTTCGATCTGCATTCAAACTCCATAGTTCTTTCTTTGGATATGGATAGTATTTTCCATCACGAGGCCTTTGGAGATGTCTTAGATCCTTGTATTGCTGGGAAGGGTTAAGTTTATCAATATCAGTTACTGCACAACATGGCTGTTATTGTGTACAACATTCTCCTGGTTCACTCAGCATCAGACCATACAAGCCTTTCCAGGTTTTTCTGAAGTCTGCCTGCTCATCATTTCTTATAGCACATAGTATTCCATTACATTTATATAGTACAACTTGTTCAGCCATTCCCCAATTGATGGGCATCCTCCCAATTTCCAATTCTTTGCCACCACAAAAAGAGCTGTTATAAATATTTTTGTACATGTAGGTTCTCAGCCTGTTTTTGTAAAATGGGGATAATACTAGCCCCTACTTCCCTGGGTTGATCTGAGGATCAAAGGAAGTATGCCATGTAAAGTACTTTGCAAACCTTGAAACAGTATACAGAGAGTCCCAGAAGTGCAGTTTAAAGTGATTTAAGAGTGCACTAAGACTTTGGGGAACAGTCAGTATTAATGCTAGTGATGATGCTGGTGGTGATGATGGTGGTGGTGATGATGATGATGCTGGTGATGGTGATGGTGGTGGTGATGGTGGTAATGGTGGTGGTAATGATGGTGGTAATGGTGGTGGTAATGATGGTGGTAGTAGTGGTAATGATGGTGATGGTGGTGATGGTGATGGTGGTAATGGTGGTGGTAATGATGGTGGTAGTAGTAATGGTGGTGGTGGTGGTGATGATGGTGGTGATGGTGATGATAATGATGGTGAAAATGAAATATTTTTCTCTGAAAAGCCCTTTCCTGACCCCTAGAAAAAGCCTCTTGGAAAGGTGGGTAGGATAGGTCAGGACAAAGGCCTTTTCATTAGGTGAAGGAATCATGAGTGATCACAAGATACTTAAAGAGTACCAATTAGTATAAAGAGAACATTTCCCTTCCTCAGGTAGTTGAGGGGTGGGGCAGGGTGTGGAAGAGAAAGAGGGATCCAACCTGGGGTGAGCTCTTTTTTCTGTCCCCTGAAGGGAGTAGACTAGGGTTCACCTTGAGAAATTCTCTGGCGCTCAATCCACCTCCTATTCAATTTGGATTAAGGGTTCTAGATTAAGACCTGAGGGAGGAATTCCATTGATCCTGGAGGAAGATAGAAATATTCAATTATGGCTTTATGCTAAGTAACTCACACTGTATTTTAAGATATCTTTTTCTTGTTCAAGATTCCTATAAATATTTGGGGGGGCGGCACTAACTCTCTTTCTTTTTCTGTCTCTTAATTTCTCTGTCTCTCAACCTCTCTCTCCCTATCTCTCAATCTTTCTCCCTCTTTCTCTTAATATGTCTCTTTCTTTGTCTCTCAGTCTCTCTGTTTCTGTATCTGTCTGTCTGTCTCCCTCCCTCTCCTTCCTTCCTCCCCCTCTCTCTCCCTACTTCACCTAAAGCTAGAATTAGATTGATGTATTAAATAGAGCTATTTCTGGCAAACTGGTGCCTAATTGTGGAGTGTGATATTAGTATTAATAGGTTTTTCTTCAACATCACCTACTCACAGTTCAGTCCTGAGAATCAATTGAGATAATCTGTGTAAAGTCCTATAGAAATGTCTGCTATTATAACAGGAGGCAGTCTGGGCTAGCCAGGGAAATTGAGAGTCACTGCTTGAAAAGGTTTGAGAACCAGGTAGCTGAGAATCAGGGAAGCCAGGGAAAGAAAAAGTTCTAAGAAGGAACCTGATTTGTCTAGTTAGTGAACTTCCCAAAGGCATATCTCCAAGTCTGCTTCTTCTGTCTCATATATAGGGTTCTCTGCTTGCATTGTGGAGAACAGACTCCCCGAGAGGTGCTGCAGGACCGATTTGAAGCCCTGAATTCCACCTGGGGAGCGGAGGCCCACGGCGTGGCCCCTGATGGCGACGTCTTCCTGACGGAGGACCAGGTCCGAAGCTTCCGTGTCCCACCCTGCACCAAGTGTGGAGGCCCCCTGAAGCCAGATGTTGTTTTCTTTGGGGACACAGTGAACCACGATAAGGTGGATTTCGTGCACATGCGTGTGAAGGAAGCCGACGCCCTTCTGGTGGTAGGATCTTCCTTGCAGGTACCTTGGTGTCTCCTCCTGGTTCAGTCAGAGGGGGATCTGTCTGTCCCCTGGATGGGAAAGCTCAGTCGGGTTTGACTGAAAGGTAATTGACCTGGTTTGTCTTTCTTTCTAAATCTAGCTAGATGATATCATCATCAGCTGTCCCCTCTGTGTCTTCTTCTCTCCTGCAGGTATACTCTGGCTACAAGTTTATTCTTGCGGCCCATGAGAAGAAACTACCCATTGCAATACTGAACATTGGGCCCACGAGGTCAGACCAGCTGGCCTGCCTGAAGTTGGATTTCCGATGTGCAGAGATCCTGCCTTTAATAGCCCCACAGAGACCAGGGCTCGGTGCTCCTAACCCCCAAGGAGGCCCTTTACTGGACCTGAGCTGCGGAAGGTAAAAACTTTTATAGTTACTAAGTCCAAGCATCAACTGAGCCTGGATTGAGGACTTTAGCCCCTTAAGTTAAATGGAGTAATCACGATAGAACGAGGTAGTGCGGTGTGGTTGACTGAGGTTAGACTTATGTTCATGTGGTCAAGACCCGGGCACCTAGGTGTCACAGTGGAAAGAGCACCAGACCCGGAGTCAGGAAGATCTGAGTTCAAATGCAGCTTCAGATACTTCATAGCTGTATGACTTTGGGCAAGTCACTTAACCCTATTTGCCTCAGTTTCCTCATCTGTAAAATGAGCTGGAGAAGGAAATGGCAAACCACTCCAGTATCTTTGCCAAGAAAACCCCAAAGGAGACACAACTAAACAAGAGGCAAGATCCTAAGCCTTTTAGGGTGTCTGGTCACCTGGGATCTTGGGTCAGTGAAAAGTGGTTTCCGATCTCAGCTCTGCTCTTTATTTATGGTCCATGTCAGGATTCTCCTCTCCGAGTTTTCTCATCATTTAGGAGATTGCACTTATTGATACCTGATATCTCTACGATCCTATGATCCCAAGACATTTTTTTTTGTTTTTCCAATATATTTTTATTTCATTAAATATTTCTCAATTACATGTAAAAATATTTAAACTTTTTAAAAAAAAATTTAAGTTTCAAATTCTCTCCCTTCCCTCCCCCTTCCTTGAGAAGGTAAGTACTTTGATGTAGCTTATACACGTGAAGTCATGAAAAACATATTTCCATATTAGTCATGTTGCAAAAGAAAACACAGACCAAAAAAACCCAACCGAATCTAAGAAAAATAAAGTAAAAAAAAATATGCTTCAGTCTTGTTCAGAATCCGCAAGTTCTTTTCCTGGAAACAGAGAGCATTTTTCATCTTGAATCCTTTGGAATTGTCTTGGATCACTGTATTGATGAGAATAGCTAAGTCATTCACAGTTAATCATCATTACAATGTTGCTGTTACTGTGTGCTCTGTTTTCCTGATTCTGCTCACTTCACTTTGTATCAGTTCATGTAAGTGTTCCAAGGTTTTTCTGAAATTATCCTGCTGATGATTTCTTATAGCACAATAGTATTCCATCATAATCATATACCACAACTTGTTCAGCCATTTCCCAGTTGATGGGCATCCCTTCAATTTCCAATTCTTTGCCACTACAAAAAGAGCTGCTATAAATATTTTTGTTCAAGTAGGTCCTTTTTCCTTTTTGTCCAATCTCATTGGGATACAGCCCTAGTAATGATATTACTGGTTCAAAAGACAGGCACATTTTTGCAAGCCTTTGGGCACAGTTCCAAATTGCTCCCCAGAATGGTTAGATGAGTTCACAACTCCACCAATGGTGTATTAGTGTCTTAATTTTTCCATGTCCTCTCCAATATTTGTCCTTTTCCTTTTCTATCATATTAGCCAATCTGATAAGTATGAGGTGGTACTTCAGAGTTGTTTTAATTTGCATTTCTCTAGTCAATTTTTTCATATGGCTAGATAGCTTTGATTTCTTCTACTGAAAACTGCCTGCCATTTATCAATTGGGGAATGACTTGTATTCTTATAGATTTGACTCAGTTCTATATCTTTTTGAGAAATGAGGCTTTTATGAGAGAAACTTGTTTTAAATTTTTTCCCCCAGTATCTTGCTTTTCCTCTAATCTTGGCAACATTGATTTTGTTGTGCAAAACCTTTCTAATTTAACATAATCAAAATTATCCATTTTGCAATGCTTTCTACCACTTGTTTGGTCATAAATTCTTCCCTTAGCCATAGATTTAACAGGTAAACTATTCCATGCTCCCCGAATTTGCTTATGATGTCACCTTTTATGTCTAAATCATGTACCCATTTTGACTTTAATCTTAATAATTAAATAATTAATCAAATAATTTGATCTTGGTATATAGTGTGAGATATTGGTCTATACCTAGTTTCTGCCAAACTGCTTTCCAGTTTCCCAGCAGTTTTTGTCAAACAGTGATTTCTTGACTCAAAAGCTTGGTTCTTTGAGTTTATCAAACACTAGATTATTATGATTATTTACTGCTGTGTTTTGAATACCTAATGTATTCCACTGATCCACAATTCTATTTCTCAGCCAGTATCAGATTGTTTTGATGATTACCAATTTGTGATACAGTGTGGCATCTGGTAATGCTGGGCCCCGTGACATTTATCTACTAAGTCCAAGAAAGGCTGCAATCTACAATAGTGGAGGGAGTTTCCCATCCTGGGAATTTCCAGGGATGAGGAAATGACAGAATCCTTTGAATACTCCTATGTTGACAGGGAAACAATTCTTCTAAACTTTCTAGCCATATTTCACTATTTAAATCTAATATACTAGATCTTTCAGGCCACAGTAGATAAAAGACCACTTATTCCAAATGGTGGCACATCAATATTTGAGTGACGTAAACTAGCCTGAGGTTAGAAATAACAGGGTAATATTCAGTGGCTTCTAAGGACCCTTCTAGATTTAAATATGTGACCCTGTGGTCCTCTCCACAGGTCCCAGATCACCATTGTCTTTCTCTTTTCAGAACGCACCATGCTCCTGCCTCCCAGTCCCACCTCAAAATGGCAGATGCTGTTTCTCAGCCAGTAGAGGGCAACCCATGACCACATTCATCCATCTCAGCATCCTAGTTCACACCCCGGGTGGGGGGGGGGGCCAGCATCCAATTGTGCTGCTATGTTCTCTACCAGGGACTTGGAAACTCTACATTGTTTGGAGGTCGGGCGCCAAAGGAACATCTTTGTGCCCCAGCAGCAGCTGCATTTAAGGCAGACAACTGATCACAAACCACATCTCCTTCTCAGACCTGACTTTTTCATTCTGGGTTGGCGATGGCCCCAGTAGGGAGGCCAGCATGGTCTCCTCGAGGAATTGGTAGCAGTCTGAGGAAAGGGTAGGATGAAACACTAATTTAGTTTTATAATCTCAAACAGCTAAAGTTATCTTTTAATTGTACCATTTCAATCAATCAATAAACATTTTTTAAATATCTTTAAGAAAGCAAATGAATATATTTCCTTTGGGCAGGGCAAGTAGTGATTTAAATGAATTTTTATTAAACAGGGAATAATCGGAGACTCCTTTTCTCCAACACACCAGGTGCAGGGTATATATGGGGTTGTATTCTATTTCAGTCATTAACAAGAGAAGGAGAGTTTGTGGTGGAAATCTCCAGAGATTTCTCTTTGGTCCCAGAGACCAGTGCCAACCACCTGCCTTAAAGCCCAAACTGGAGGAGGAAAAACAGTGAAATTCCAATTGTTCACTAACGTTCATTGTTTCTGCTCAGAAAGCAGTGGGTCTTGTTGGGTTACAGAGACTTAGGAGGTACAGCTCAGACTTTCTAAGCAGTCTTAATCAGCAAAGGAAAGAGAATGAAAGAACTTCAGGCGTCTAAATGGAAGTCTTCTGTCTAAAATGAGGGCAGGCAATACGAGCCTGTTGGACAAATACCGGGGAAACAAATGTGCCTTTACATCACCAGATTTTTGGAAACATACTGAACTTTTTCACCTGAATAGATGAATATATTCTACAGGCATCAAATGATTAACTCTTCTAGCGCCCCGTGTGAAGTGTGGCTGTTGTCAAACCCCAGTGCAGCTGGGCTGAAACTGGGGAGGGTAAGGACACGTTGAACCTGGAACAATTATGCAATGAGTCCACAATAGCAAAATAATTAGAATCAAGGACTCCTGAGCCCCACCACTGTTCTTGATACACAGAAAATAAAGCTGTTTTTCTTCTACTTCTTTATCTGCAGAATATTATTTAAGAAAAAAAAAAAAGAATCCAGCTTCAATTTCCGATGTTTGGAAGAGAGAACCAGCAATTTAACTGGCCAATAGGGATCCACCTTGGGTTGGTAAAAAGCTGAATCTGGTGTGGGGCAGCTTAGAAAACAGAGTTTCCAGGGAGGTAAGGCAGGCCCAACACCTTGAGGGCTGGCCCTTGGCGTCACAAAATGTGGAGCCTGAGAACCTTAGGTATGATGCCTCTGTTGGAGGTTTTATCCTGAAATGAAATTTTTTTTTAAAAATCTGGTTTTTTGAATCAATCAAAATTCAGCCTCTTTCCACCTCTCCCCTTCTCCATTGAGAAAAAGAAAGAAAAAAAAACTGTTACAAACATATAGTCAAGCAAAAAAAAATTCCAAATCAGCCATGTTGTTGTTCAGTGGTTTCAGTTGTGTCTGACTCTTCATAATCCCATTTTAAGGTTTTCTTGGCAGAGATACTGGAGTGGTTTGCCATTGCCTTCTCCAGCTCATTTTACAGATGAGGAAACTGAGGCAAACATGGATAAGTAACTTGCCCAGGGTCAAACAGCTAGTAAGTGTCTGAGGCCAGATTTGAACTCAGGAAGATGAGACTTCCTGACTCCAGGCCCAGAGCTCTATCCACTGCATCACCCCTCCCCAAAGTCTCAATCTGCTCTCAGAGTCCCTATTAACTCTGTCAGGAGGTGGGTAGCATGTTTCATCATGAACGATGGAATTGTGTTGAAAGTCTCTCCCGAGAGTCCGTCAGCCAACAAGCATTTATTAAATGCTTACTATGTGCCAGTCACTATGGCATAAGCCCTGGGGAACCAAAAACAAGGTGTTGGCTGAGGCTAATAAATCAATCCTCTCTGGCTCTGGGCCCACTTGATCAGGGACATCTCGTACTACTGACACGTGTGGCAGTCTGGATCCAACTGTAACCCTTCCCAAACAAAACCACTGCGTTGAGTGATCTTTCTAAGCATTTCCTCTCCCATATCAATGCAGCCCCTTAACTTTCTTCTGTTAACCCAAATGTCTGTTTCTTCTGTTGACTGCTATCCTTCCCCCAATTAGATGGAAGATGGTCATACGGTGGGGAAACAGCATGGACCACTTAAGAGTCAGGACACCCAGAATTACCGTGACCTACCTACAAACTCAAATTCCTTCTTGTGTGTTACTGGTCACTTCTCCATCTCCACAGAAAACTCCAGGGAGAAATATAAAAATATTTTAAAAGTTCATGCTCGTTTGGGAAGGCTGCCATCTTATCCTATGTGCCAGAGAAGCTGGTATCTCCAAGTCTTCCATTATGATACAGGGCAAGCCCTTTAATTGTACAGGGACAGGCCCTGTGATTTCATTAGGGACCTCTCTGGTCAGGAAACTCCTCCTAATTCAGGTCAGCACTTTCTCAGCCAGCTATTAGCATTAAAGATTACTTTAGACTACCGAGAAGTAACATGAGTTGACCAGGACATGCAGCTAAGCTCATCTCCCAAGTGCCAGGTGGTCCTGGCTCCAAGGCAGGCTCTCCGTCCCCATCCCACCATGGCGATCCCATAAACAGTTTCAGTCATGAAAATCGGCCCGGTGCTCCCCAAAGCCATAGTTGATTACGTTTATGTAACGTTTCCCAAAACAGGCACGTTGCCAGACTTGGGAAGGAGGGTTTGGATCTGGGGAAGTTGCCTGGAGGCAGGAAGTGGGTAGACAGCCATCAGGTGATTGGCAGCTTTGGGGGTACTTCCTCTTCCCCCACATCAGGCTCGCTTGTTTCTGAGGTCCCTCATCATTATCGGAGAAGTCTAGGTCTGGGATGGCATAAGCTCTGGATTCAAATCTAAAGCCTTGGGGGGAGTCCTATCCACCTGGGTGACATAGGTCAAAGCTTTCAACCTCTAGGACCTCAGTTTTCTCATCAGGAAAATGAGGTTGTTGTGAAGAGAAGCACTTTATGCCTTGGATACATGTTATTTTTCGTTCTCTTCTTTTGTCCTTTCTCACTCCCTGTCTCCCCACTTCTCTCCCCCTCCCTCACCTGTACCCACCTCTCTCTACACTATTATTAACTATTATAACCCCTTTGAAGACAGCTAGGTGGAGAAGTGGATAGAGTGCCAGTCCTGGAGTCAGGAAGACACATCATGAGTTCAAACCGGGTCTCAGGCACTAGCTGTGGCACTCTGGGAATGTTACTTAACTTCTGTCAGCCTCAGTTTTCTCCTTTGTAAAATGGGGACAATAATAGCCCCTACCTCCCAGGGCTGTTATGAGGTTTAAATGAGATAATATATGTAAAGTGGGGGCCACTAGGTGACGAAGTGGATAGAGCACCAGACCTGGATTTAGGAGGACCTGAGTTCAAATCTGGCCTCAGATACATAACGCTAACTGTGTGACCCCAGGCAAATCACTTACCACCAACTGCCTCACCAAAAAGCAAAAATGTGTGTGTGTGTGTGCACATGTCTGTGTGTGTGTCTGTGTGTGTAAAGTGCTTTGCAAGCCATAAAGCACTTTATAAATATTGTTGTTCAATTGTGTCCCACTCTCTGTGACCCCATTTGAGGTTTTTTGGCAAAGATACTAGAGTGGTTTGAAACTGAGGCAAACAGGGTTAAGTGACTTGCCCAGGGTCACACAGCTAGGAAGTGTCTGAGGTCACACCCAGCGCTCTGTGCACTATGGCGCCACTTAGATGTCCAAAGTCACTAAAGAGAGGAAAAGGACCCATATGTACAAAACCATTTATACCAGTTTTTTTGTTGTTGTTGCAGAAAAATAGAAGCTAAGATACTGCCCACTTACTGGGGCATATAGGAATACAGGGAATGAAAGAATGGACAGATATTTCAGAGAAAACTGGAAAGAACCAGAGGAAGTGATGCACAGTGCAAAAGGGAGAAGAATTTACTAACACTGATTTGTATTCAGGATTTGTAAAAATAGTATTTATATAAGCCTTTATCTTGTTATCACAAGCACCCTGTGAGTTACAGAGTCACCTGGCTAAGTGTCTGATGCAGGATTTGAATTCGGGGCTTCCTGACTCCAAGTCTGACACTTCATCCCCTATGCTACCAAACTACCACATTGATGACTGTTTTCTCTCCCAACCCCCAAAAGAAAAACTAAACCTTTGTAAGAACTATTCAATGAAGCAAACAAATTCTCACTGTTGCCAGGTCCAAAAATGTTAACACCACTATAAACAAAAACAACTTTAACAACTTGAGAATTCTTATCCATGCAATGACAAGCCATGATTCCAGAGGCACAAATAGGAAACCTGCTGCCCACGGGACAGCTGACTGATTCACTCCAAACACAGGAGCAAGGCGTGTTTTTTAGACAATGCTAATGTGAGAATTAATTTTGCTAGACTGGCCATCCTTATTATGAGACTCTGTTTTTGGCAGTGTTGGTGGTGGCGGTTCAATAGGAAATGGGAAGAAGGGAAAATATTAACTTAAATTTAACTTAACTTGCATTAAGCAAGTTAACAAAGAAAAAAATTAAATTTCTTTCTTAAAAAAAGGTGTGTTTGGCGGGGTATAAACTATTGGATGACAGAAGTAGGTTTTTTCTTATCCCAGCCTGGTGCCTTGGAAAGTCAACGCCTACTACATGCCAGGTGCTGGGATACAAAGAAAGTCTTAATCACAGTCCCCAACCTTAAGGAGCCTACGCTCTAATAGAGAAGACTTAATAATAACTAGTATTTATAAAGTGCTCTAAGGTTTGTTGTTGTTCAGTCACGAGTGACTCTCCGTGACCTCATTTGGGGTTTTCTTGGCAGAGATGCTGGAGTGGTTTACCATTTCTTTCTCCAGCTCGTTTTACAGATGAGGAAACTGAGGCAAACAGGGTAAAATGACTTGCCCAGGGTCACACAGCTAGTAAGTGTCTGAGACCGGACTGAACTCAGGAAAAGGAGTCTTCCCGACTCCAGGCCTGGTGCTCTATCCAATGTGCCACTTAGCTGCCCCTGCTTTAAGGTTTACAATGCACAATTTATTCCTCTTTTGTACAAATAAGAAATTGAACACAGTAGGCGCTTAATGAGTGCTTCCTGATTAATTGCTGAGACCTTACAGAGCGTCTGGGTCACATCCCCATATGGAAACGGAGGCTCGGAGGGGTCAAGTCAGCGGCCCAAGGTTTACAGGTGGTACTCAACAGCAGGGTCGGCAACAGCACCCCTTGCCCCCCAAGCCCTCCTGGGAACGCCCCCTTCGTCATGAGCCCCACCCCCATCTCGTTGGGCGCGCGCACCTTTTACCTGCGCCTGCGCACAGCTCCTGTTTCCCCTTCCTCTCAGGCCGCCACCCGGAGCCCGAGGTCACGTGGCCCTTCTACCTGGGGAGTAAAAGCAGAGCGCCCGGGAGACCTGAGGAGGTGGAGGGGGGGGCCGGAGGAAATGAGTCACCAATAGGGAGAGGCGTCGGAGGGCACGTGAGGAAGAGCGAGCCAATCGCCTTTCCGATATCCCGCCCACTTCCCTATGAGGCGGGATCACGTGGCGAAGGAAGGTAAATATCGCCACGTGGCTCCCCCCTGTTGTGCTCTGCCTTTTCTGGGCCTGGTTTTTTGAGCTGGGAGTAGTTCATTGGGCTTCAAATAAATGGTTGTAATGTTCCCAATATTGCCCCTCCCCCGGTAATTAATACTCATAAATCACTTTAAGGTTAGCAAAATAAAATGATCTCATTGGATCTTCACAGGGTCACGTAGATACTAAGTGTCTGATGCCCCTCGAAGCTGCTTTTCTTTTCGATACTGTAGCATTTCTGAACGTGGCCGTTGTGGGGATTTGTTTTGCTTGATGGATTAGTCCCCACTAGGGCTTCGTGTCTCTTTTGGGGGCGGAGTAGGTGGAGGCAGAGAAATTCGTGGCAGTTGGGGGTGCATAAGGGATCAAGTATTGGAGTCACTCTCCGGGTCAAGAAGTTTTAGTGGCTCCCAGTTGCGCCTCGAATGAAATGGAAATTCCTCAACTTGACCTTTCAAAGCCCTTTATCATCTGGCTTCAGCCAACCCATCCAGACCTTATCTATAAAACCAGTCACAGCATACCCTTTGACCCAGCAATATCAATCCCAGATCCAAAGAGATAAAAGAAAAAGGAAACATTCATATATAAAAAATATTTATAGTAGCTCTTTTTGTGGTGGCAACAAATCAGAAAGAATATTCCCTCAACTGGGGAATGGCACGGTTATGATGGGATGCTATCATGCTTGGAGAAATGATGAAGGGGGGTAGGTTCAGAAAAACCTGGGAAAACTTGTGTGAACTGACGCAAAGTGAAGGGAGCAGAACCAGGAAAATATTGTACACAGTAATAGCAATATTGTGAAAGACTTAGCAACTCTGGTCAATACACTAAACCATGATAATTCCAAAGGACTCATGATGAAAAGTGCTGTCCATCTCCAAATAGAGAACTGATGTTGAGTGCAGATGAAGCTTATTTTTTCTCTTTGTTTTTCATGTTTTTCCCCTTACCACTCATGTCAGACTCTTCTGACTCTATTTGGGGTTTTCTTGGCAAAGTTATTGAAGTGATTTGCTGTTTCCTTCTCTGGTTTATTTTATGAGGCAAACAAGATTAAGTGACTTGACCAGGGTCACACAGCCAGTAAGTGTCTGAGGTCAGATATGAACTCATAAAGATGAGTGAAAATGTTTTCTGTGACTCTGTATGTTTGATAAGTGTATATTTCTTGCCTTCTCAATGGGCAGGAGAGGGAGTGGAGGGAGGGAGAGAATTTAGAACTGAACATAAAAATTAAAATTAAAATTAAAAAAATCACATTATACTTTGGGTCCAGCCAAACTGGTTTTACTACGTTTACCAACACATGAAATTCTGTTTCCCCTTTCCATGCCTTTGTACGGGCCATCTGTCCCCTATGCTTGGCATGCTTTTCACCCCTGTTTCTTAGAATTCTAGCCTCTTCTAAAGGTCAGTTCAAGGGCTATTTCCTCCATGAAGTCTTTCCTGATTACCACACAGCAGCTCAAGCCTCTCCACTTTGGCACATTGCAAATTATTTTGAGAGAACTTGGTATATAGTTTTGTATCTAGCTAAATGACCCTGTGTTGTTCTCAGACTAAAAACCCCTTGAGGGAAGTCAAGTACATAATAAAAGGTTCAAGTGATGGAGCTGATCATTTGAGCATCTTTTTGGAGCTGGAAGGGACCTCTGAGGACATCTAGTAGTCCAGTTCCTTCCTTCTGAAGGATGCTAGATTCTGCAGATGTTGGAGCTGACTGAGGTCCAGAGCCGAGGTGACTCGCTTAAGGTCACCCAGTAAATAGCTTGTTGGCATGTTGTCTCTTGCATTGGACTGTGCACGCCTCCAGAGCAAGGACTGTCTTTTGCTTTTCTTTGTAACCCCAGCACTTAGCACCGAGACTGACACATAGTAGACAATGAATGCTGAGTAAAGTCCAGTTTGATGGAAGCCTAGAGTTCACAAAGGGAAGCATGAAGTGAACCCGAAAAGGTAAATTGGAGCCATTTTGCTAGTGGTTGTGAATGCCAAGGTGGAGGTTTTGGACAATAGAGCAGAGCTGAGATTCTAAGAGAGAAGCAGATTGGAGGCAAGGAGACCAGTTGGAAGGCTGTGACACTAGGGTAGTTTGGGGGTGATCCGGGCCAGAAAGAGGGTGATAAAGACTGGTTTGAGAGATGTTATAGACTTAAAATTGACAACTAATTGGATGGAGGTGGGGCCAGTAAGAGGGAAGAATTAAAAATGAACTAACTTGCAGGTTTTGAACCAAGATGCCCAGAAGGATTGAAGGGACTTGAGACCCTTGGACATCATGGTTATGGGTTATCATGAGTTCTCAAATGTCCTTCCTAACATATAGGACTCAGAACTGAGCCCGAGAGTAAATGTTTTCTCATTCATTCATTCATCCATCCAACTCACTCTTCCAAAGTCACACTTTTCCCAGGTGGAAAACCCAAGACTTAGTGGCCCCCTCCTAGCTCCTAAGGATGCGACTCTCTTCTGTCCCGATGGGTGATTTCAGTGTTAATTATCCTCCCTACTCTGCCTCCCTCAAGACTTACAGAAGACTCAGCAGTAACTAGACCTCTCAGAGCACAATTCCAGTGTGTCTGAGGCCCCAAGAGGAGGAAAGACAAAGCTAGACAGGGAGCCTTTCAAGATGCTTTAATGAAGGCCACCGCCTGCAGGCTTGGAGGAAGGCAGCTGCCTGGGGCATGGCTGAGGGAGTGGGAGCCTACTATTTCTTTTCAGCAGAACTTGCTGTTCAAGTTCTTGTGTTCTGCATTGTATGGTGCCTTGGAAAAGCAGTAGGCAGCATTTCGGTCACAGTTGCAGATGAAGGCTTCACACGCATCATTTTTGTCTAGAGAGGGGAAGATGGAAAGAGGTGTGAGCTAACTGTCAGACGTACCACTGTGCACTAAGAACATCCCTAACTTAGGCAATTGACTTGTTACCAGAGAACGTCAGAATTGGGAGGGCCCTTAGAACAGGGAATGTTAGAGCTGGGTAGAGCCTTAGAATAAGGGATGTCAGGGCTGGGAGGGGCTTAGAACAGGAAAGGTCAGGGCTAGGAGAGGCCTTAGAACAGGGGATGTCAGGGCTGGGAGGAGCCTTAGAACAGGGAATGTCAGGGCTGGGAGGGGCCTTAGAACAGGGGATGTCAGAGCTGGGTGG